ACCTTATTAAAAAACGAAACGAGATTAGTGCGGCATGATTCTTCTTAGAGAGCCTGGCCCCTGATGGCCAGTGCGTTCTGTTCGAAGTGCCCATTAATCATCTGTCTGATAATCAGCTTAGGAAGTTTCAGAGATTAATGACAACCTTATTCCCAGATTTTCAAACCTATGTAGTTCTGCTTTAAAGATCACGAAGCACGTTTTGTAGAGAGACCTCAAACCTCTTCTACTTTAGACGCAGTTGTCCTTTGACTCTGTTTTGCCACATCCTTAAAAGGTGGAACTGTGTGGGTTCTTGGTATTTTTAAAGCCGTCCCTCATTGGGAACCAGCAGTTAGCGTAATGGCTATGTCGCTGGATTCCCACGTAGTCGACCGTGGTTTGCGTCCTGGACCCGGTGGCTTGGAACTCACGCCGGGCGCGTGTGCGTACGTGCCCAAGATCCCGAGAGGAGAATGGAGGAGAAGGGATTGCGGCGTGACCATCCCCCCTGGGGGGTGATTTCTCGCTTTCTGTCTCTATGTCTCTCTGTCTGTCTGGCGAGCGCACGCGCCCTATAGCGAAAACCTCTCCAAAAAGAAAAAAAGCCATCCCCGACTTGAGCAGGGCGTCCCCGGCCATCCATATACTAGGTCATCAGGAAAGTCATGACTTTCATTGTTATTGTTTTGCTATACAAAAAACTGCATTGTGACTTGCCCAGCGACCCAATAGAACGACATAGGCTCCAACCCCCTTTGGAACTATTTGTATATTTATATTTTATTATTATTCTTTAAGTTTGTTATAGGGCATGCATGCTCACCAGAGAGAGAGTGAGGGAGTGGAAAAGTGAGAAAGCAAGCCACCAGGTCCGGGACTCAAACCATGGTCAACCATGTAGGAGTCCACCTGCAGGCCCCACCCCCATTCCCTTTATTCTCTTTAAGGTCCTTTGTAGCATTTGTCACTGTCTGAAATACCGAATCTGTCTAGTTGTGTGCAGTTTCGCTCAATACAGGAGAGGCTGTACGAGGCCAGGTCCTTCATCTGTCACCGTTTTCTCAGCATCCGTAATGGGACCTGATTTCGGTTAGGACCCTGTGAATGCTCCCCGGGTGGAGGGACAGATTCCTTCTGGGAAACTATTACAAGAGTAGTTCTCAAATCTCATTATTGTCGTTGTTCAACTTTGCGTTTTTATTTGTCACAGGCTCTCTGCCTGCACCCCGTCCTCTCCAGGGCAAGCCAGTTTCAGCTCGGTGTATACGAGGATTCTGTAATACAATGATTTTCCCAGAGCTGGGGAGATGGTAGTTTCTAAAAAGCCTCATAAGCGATTTTGATATTTCCCTTCTCCTATTGAAAATTATTGTATTAGAGAGCACTTTTTTTTTATCATTAACAAATTTGTATCTCCATCCTAGAGACTCATACAAAGCCAGTGGCATGATGCTTAAGGCAGCAGGATCCCACATGGCTGATAGCACGGTTCAAGTCCTGGATCTGGTGGCTTGAAAAACTCTGGGTGTGTGTGTGTGTGTATGTGTGCATGCCCAAAATCCCAAGAGGAACATGGAGGAGAAGGGATTGTGGTGTGGCCATCTCCCCTGGCAGGTGCTGCTTTCTCACTTTCTCTCTCTCTCTTCTGTCTCTCTCCAGTGAGCCCACCAGCTCTAGGGCAAAAATTACCCAAATAAAAAAGCAAGTCTTTATTTTTCTTTCACATAAAAAGTCATCAAGTGTTGGAGACAGTTGTTAAGTTGCATTTCGCACCCTCCCTCACTACCTTCACCTTCGATCCTTGTACCTTTTCATTCCGAGGAGAATGTCCCTGCATTCCTCCTGACTATCCTGGCTGCTCTCAGGTGTACATTTCCCAGCTTCTCTTTCTATACCCGCAGGTGTGCTGCTCACCAGGGATGGGGCGCTTCAGAGAAAAATCAGGGTGTCCAATCCTCAGTCTGGCATGGTAGTCCCCAACCCTGGCCAGTCAGGATGACTCACACGGAGCTCATAAATGCCGAACATGTGTGGTCCATGTTCTGCTGCAAATCTGGGTGGGTCTGAGGACCCTTGTGTTTGTTACAAGGTCCCAGGAGACCGACAGGTGACGTAGTGGTTAAGGCACTGGATTCCTATATGGCAGGCTACAGTTTGGGTACACGGCTTGAAAATCATGCTGGGCACATGTGTGTGCATGCTCAAAAATCCCAGGAAGAAAATGGAGGAGAAGGGATTGTGGTGTGGCCATTGTCTCTTGGAGTGATTTCTCACTTTGTCTCTCACTGTCTGTCTCTCTCTCTCTGGCAAAAATCTTAAAAGAAAACAAAACAAAACAAAGGCTCCCAGAAGACTCTGTTAAGAATCGCCGTTGTAGATTCTCGACTCTCAGATTACTACAATGGTTTAATAGCCATTTTAGTAATTTCTTGTGTCGATATCCTAATGCTGGCATAGAATATCGATGGTATAATTAAATTAGTTATTTAAACTATTAATATCTTGGATCAATTTTTTTTAACCTGGGGTTGACACATGGTTCACAATATGGATATGAAATTACACAGTTATTTTCTGGATAATTGTGTGTATTTGTGCATGGGGTGGGGAGCAAGAACCAGAGGGGTTTTACTCCTGAGTCCTAGTGGAAAAATTATAGTTTGCACACAGGAAAAGCAGAGTCGCTGACAGAGCTGAGCGAATCCAGTGGCAAGAGTGTGCTTTGGTTTTCTGTGGCCACTGTAAGGAACTGCCACGAACGTGGCAGCTTTCGGGGTCTCGTGCTGCAGCTCTTTCCCCTCCCCAGCCCTCACAGCCAGCCAAGACCACAGACACTCACCCAGGTACCCTGGGCAGCCTGTAAACCGAAGCCCTGTCTTCCTGTGGCTTCCAGCACTGCAGGGGGTGACCTGGCCCCTGTGCGCATACACTGTCTTGAGAACGGCACACACTGATTCTCCCACAGTTCCATAGCTCAAAGTCATACACAGGTCTCCCGGGGCCCAAAACAAGGCGTGGACAGGATGGTTCCCCTGGAGCCCCTGGGAGTCCATCTCATTGCTTCTCTCAGTGTCTAGAGGGCTCCACGTTGCTTAGTTCATGTTCCCTATCTCCATTTTCTTTCATTTTCTTTCAATATGCTAGAGGTCTCATGCACTTGCTGGTGGGGGGCGAGGGGAGAGGAATGAGAAAGCACCCTTATCCTCATGAGGGATGGTCACACTGTGATCCCTCTTCCTCCTTTCCCTCCTTTTGGGATTTTGGTCATATACACATACAAGCCTGGCATGTTTTTCAACTGCCACTGGGTCTGGGACTCAAACCTTGCAGTTGATCAGGTGGGATCCAGCTGTTCTAACCACCATGCCACTGCCTGACCCTTTTCTCCATTTGCAAAGCCAGCAGCCTGCATCTCTCTGACTCTCCTGTCTTCACATGTCTCTGACCACAGTCAGGGAAGGCCATCTGCTTTTACAGAGCGGTGTACTGAGGTTGGGCCCTCCTGGATAATCCAGGCTAAGCTTCATGTTGGATCCTTAACCTAATCACATCAGCAAAGTCCCTTTTACACTAACATGTCAGTCACCATTGGTGTAAGGTAATGTGAGATACCATACATAAGGTAACATGTGGGCCAGCAGTTGGCATAGTAGTAACATTGCTGGACCCCCACGTGGCCAACCGCAGTTCAAGTCCTGGACCTGGTGGCTTAAAAATTATGGCAGGTGCATGTGTGTTCATGCCTACGATCCTGGGAGAATGGAGGAGAAGGGATTGCTGTGTGGCCTTCCCCTGCGAGGTGCTTTCTCTGTGTGTCTCTCTGGTGCTTGCCAGAGAGACAGAAGCGAGAAGTCACCCCCTGGTGGGGGTGGCCACACTGCAATCCCTTCTCCTCCATTCTTCCGTTGGAAGAATGGGTGTGCACACACATGCACCCAACGTGAGTTTTAAGCCGTCGGGTCCGGGACTCAAACTGCGGTTGATTGCATGGGAGTCCAGTGATGTGGCCATTTGGGCAGCAAACCAGGTCTGTGGCCACTCTTCTCCTGTCGTCTTAGAACACTGCAGCTATGTTGTCATCGCTTCCCTTGGGGATCCTCCCACACAGTATAAATCTGCTTTCAGAACCGGAGACACTATCAAGTGTCGGCTTAATAGTCTCGCCATCAAGTTGCCTAACTCTTAATACTTTTTATTTGCATCATTTTATTTCCTGTGAAAATATTTCGAAAACCCGTGCAGTGTAAAGCATTGCGTGAAGTGGCCATGCCGCTCGTGTCACTGTGACTCATCTCATTGTTACCGGTATGACTTACCAAGAAATCCGAGTATCATTCTAGACTGCAGACTAATCCCAGAAGCAGAATACTTACTCCTGCTATGGAGTAATAGCTACAATATGTTCACACCTGCAAGGAGCCAGGCACTATTTCGGATGCTTGATCTTGTTCGATTCTTGCAGAAACAATAGTGATAGAATGGTTACCTCAATTTTGTATAACCCTGAGCCTGGGTGTGTGTGTGTCTTGGTTTTCATTTATTTCTTTACTTTTAGGTTTTTGCCGTAGGGCGTGCACTCGCTGGGGAAAGAGAGAAGGAAAGTGAGAAATCCTAGGCAGGATGGCCATGCCACAATCCCTTCCCCTCTATTCTCCTCCCAGGATTTGGGGCACACACTTACTTGTGCCCAGTGTGATTTTCAAGTCCCCCGGGTCCAGGACTTGAAGTGCAGTTGGCCATGTAAGAGTTCAGCACCTTAACCACCAGCCACCTGCTGGCCCCCGTCCTGAGTGACTAAGTAGTTTGCTTACGCTCATGTAGACATAGGGTTTAAGCCTGAGGTGGTCTGTCTCCAGAGCCGTTTTTCCTCCGGAAGGCAGATCTCAGTTGTTGGAGTTGAGTAAGGCGGTTCTCAGCGCCTCCTCTCCCTGATCACGTGAGCAGTCCAAACCACTTTTCCCTCCGTGCGTTTCTGACCCAGCTGCCCCTGTGGTTAACGAGGGCACTCTGTGTTGCAGCCACGCACAGCAGCCTGACCTGCACGAGCCGAGAATTCAAGTGCGAGGACGGCGAGGCCTGCGTCGTGCTCTCGGAGCGCTGTGACGGCTTCCTGGACTGTTCGGATGAGAGTGACGAGAAAGCCTGTAGTGGTGAGTGCAGCCTGCCGGCAGGCTGGCCAGGCCAGTGGGCCCTGCACCCCGGAGCGCCTCCCAGGTCCTCCCTGGTGGATCCTGAGCTAGGACCCTTCTGACTTTCTCCTTGATCTGAAAATGAATGGATTTGTGCCCACTTTTGGAGCACCAGGTGAGGGGAAGCGTGGTCAGACTCTGACCTAAGGCCGAGCTGCCTCCTTCCTGTTCGTGCAATGCTCACTCAGATTCCGTCTCTGCTGGACTTCCTGCCTCAGGCTGATGCTCGTGGGGTCACCCAGCCCTTCACTCTGCAGGGCAGTCAGTCACAGGTCCTGCTGGGATCTGGCCCTCGGACTTGGAGCGGTCTCTACTGAGAAGAGGGCTCCGGTTCTTGTGGGCAGGAAGAAGGAGAAATGCAAGGAGAAAGATCATGTCTGGAAATTGCAGAGGCCCTAGGAAAGATTCTGTAGGGAACTCTCCACTGCATTTGGGGAGAGAATCTTTCCAGAGGATGATTGTGACCTCCGGATGAGTTAGATCACTAGAGTTTTGTCTAGAGGGAGGGAGGGACCTCTCGGGGCCTGCGATCCAAAGCTTGGTGAGCTGTAGCTTTCTTGGCCCCTTCTCCTTTGTCTCTAGATGAGTTAACTGTGTACAAAGTACAGAACCTGCAGTGGACGGCCGACTTCTCCGGGGCTGTGACCTTGACCTGGATGCGGCCCAAGAAAATGCCCTCTGCTTCTTGTGTCTATAACGTCTACTACAGGTGGGTCCCGTCTTTGTTGTGAGAAGCACACGATGTCGTCATGGCCTCTGGATGTCCCGTAGACTGGCTGTGGGTGTGTGGGGCGCGCCTCTTTGCTAATGTGCCATCCAGCTCAGCCGCCCTGTGCCGCCTCGGTGTGACGGTATCCTGGTTCTTTCGGCCAGGGTGGTTGGAGAAAGCATCTGGAAGACGCTGGAGACCCACAGCAATAAAACCAACACCGTCTTAAAAGTCCTGAAACCAGACACCACATACCAGGTGAAAGTTCAGGTTCAATGCCTGAGCAAGGCACACAACACCAATGACTTCGTGACCCTGAGGACTCCAGAAGGCCGTAAGTGTTGCTGTTTATTTTTACAGCATGGGATTTTGAGAGAGTTGTTTTCAAGGATGCTCAGGAATGTGGGAGTATACAAGAGAACTTGTGAATAAAAAGTTTATGGAAATGGAATTAAAGTATGAGTTTGGGGGGCCAGCAGATGGCATAGTGGTTAAGACACTGAACTCCCACGTGGCTGACCACAGTTCAAGTCCTGGATCTAGTGACTTGCTTTCTCAATTTCCCTTTCTTTCCTTCTCTAATCAAATTAAGAAAAATAAAATATATAGATAGATAGATAGATAGATATAGATATAGATATAATTATATATAAAATAAATAATATTTTTTTAGAGAGGTTTTTGCTATAGGGCATGTGCACTTACTGGAGAGACAGACAGAAAATGAGAAGTCACCCCCCAGGGGGGATGGCCATGCTGCAATCCCTCCTCCAGTCTCAGGATTTTGGGTACGCACTCACACGTGCCTGGCCTAAGGTTTTGTTTTTTTTTTTTTTTTTGGGGGTTTTCTTTTGCTATAGGGCACGTGCACTCGCCAGATAGAGAGAGACAGAGAGACAGAAAGCGAGAAATCACCCCCCAGGGGGGATGGCTACGCTGCAATCCCTTCTTCTCCATTCTCCTCTCGGGATCTTGGGCACACATGCACACATGCCCGGCGTGAGTTTAAGCCACCAGATCTGGGACTCGAATCGCGGTTGACTACGTGGGAGTCCAATGACATAGCCATTACGCTAACTGCTAGTCCCAGCCTGGCCTAAGTTTTAAGCCACTGGGTCCAGAACTCAAACTGCAGTTGACTACATGGGAGTCCAGTGACCTAAACATTATGTCATCTGCTGGTCCCCTAATATAAATAATTCTTTTTTTTTAAAAAAAAAAAAGCACGAGTTTATTTTGGTACAAATTTTGAAATTCACACATAGGGGCTAGCAGTTGGCATAGTAGTTAAAGTGCTAGACTCCTACATGGCCTATGTGGTTTCAGTCCCAGACCTAGCAGCTTAAAAAATTGCTCCAGTCACATGTGCATGCATGCCCAAAACCCCAAGATGAGAATGGATTGTGGTGTGGCCATTCCTCTGGGGAGTGATTTCTTACTTTCACTCTCTCTGTCTCTAACGAGCCCATGCACCCAATGGCAAAAACCTTAAAAGAAAAAGAAAAGAAAAAAGAAGCCCACATATAGTCTTTTCATGCTATGTACTTTTTATGAACTTTTTAAAGACCCTTAATAATCATGTGTCTTAAACGTACAGAAGTGTTGTGACTAAGTTTTGCGGTCTTGCCTGAGTTAGTCTTCATTAAATCAGAGAATGTGCTTGTATCTTGTGAAGTTAATTTCTGGGTCTTCCCTCCAGGGCCCTCTTTTGCATTTCTCGTCCAGCGTCTGGCTGGACCTTCCTTCTCTAGGTAATTGCCAGTATCTGGTACTTACGAGCTCGGCCTCATTACCATGTGAGGCATGTCAGTATTGTGGCTAAATTTGTAAGAAAGTTACCAAATTCTTGATTCTAAGAGAATTGCTTGCTTCCTTCTCCCTTCAAAGTAGTCGGGCGGGTGCCTGTCTGCCTATTCTAGTCGTTTCTGCGTCGCCTTGTTGTATCTGGACTAAGGTAACATTAAGCTCATGAAGGAGTGTGCCCTGCACGTGACCGTGTTCAGAGACCCTGGGGTGTTGGCGAGTAACTCCATATCTTGTTCATCGTGCCCCATACGGTGTTTTGTTGTATGAGAAGTTGACGGCAGGTGCTGTCTTTGACAGTTAAGAGCTCAGCCTTGAAGCCCCAGGACTAATGGTGACTCAGTCTGTCCAAGTGATGGTCTCCTGCAGCCCCCAGAGTCATGATCTGACAGGTGGGCAGCGCACCGTGCGTTCTGCAAGAAGAAGAGCGTGAACCACGCTGACAGCCTTTCTAGCGGAGGTGCCCAATGACGGCCCACGTTCATTCTTGTTCTCTTTGTAAACTCAGGAAAATTCCTCTGGTAGGCCCCTGGTGTGGATTTTTTTTTTTTTTTTTTAATATTTTTGCCATAGAGCATGTGCACTTGCCAGAGAGGGACAGGGAGAGCGAGTGAGAGGGAATGTGAGAAATCACCACCTCCCCCCAGAAGGGTGGCCACATGGTCATCACTTCTCCTCCATTCTCTTTCTGTGATTTACAAGCCACTGGGTCCAGGACTTGAACTGTCGGTGGCCACGTGGCAGTCTAGCACCTTTAGCACTATGCTACCTGCTGACCACTATGCAGATGGTTCTTACCTCATGTTGACTCTTTTCTAGTGCCGGATGCCCCTCGAAATCTCCAGCTGTCGCTCCACAGAGAAGCAGAAGGTGTGATTGTGGGCCACTGGGCCCCTCCCATCCATACCCACGGCCTCATCCGTGAGTACATTGTAAGTACCTTTCAGGAGGCGACCCGTGCTGGGACATTCCTGGGGAGTCAGCAGAAGGGTGTTCTGTAGGACCGACGGCTGAGTTGGCGTGGCCGCGTGAACTCACTTGTCTGTCAGAACACCCCACTCTCTGCCTTCTGCCCTCCTGCCCCGTTGAACGGCATCAGGGTGCCCCTGCCTTCGGTCACTCTTCTACCCACAGGTGTTCTTGTCTCCTCAGGTAGAGTACAGCAGGAGTGGTTCCAAGATGTGGGCCTCCCAGAGGGCTGCTAGTAACTCTACAGAAATAAAGAACTTACCGGTCAACACTCTCTACACTGTCAGGGTGAGTGTTACCCCTCGTCCCTGCCCTCTGGGCGGCCGTAGCATGGCGGTGGCCGTTTCGTGGGAAGTCTGTACTTACCCATATGGCAGCCCTACTAGTCATCTGCAGTATGCCCGGCTCCGTGCCCTGGGGGTTCCCAGTTCCTTCCCGCCTCTTAAATAGATACCACAAAGACCTTGGGGGCAGCCTTGCCTTGGAAACCCGAGAAAGCACAACGATGCAGCTTCGCGGCCAGCCCAGACTCTCGGCCAGCCGTCTCCTCTCTCCTGCTTACCTGAAGCCACAGCTGCAATAAGCTGTGTTTATATGCTGATGTCGAGGGGTTCTTAGGAAATAAATTCTTACTCTCTTTAGCAGGAAAGAGATCGATTTTCTGCAAAATACGTTTATTAAAACCATTAAGTGCACATACTCGAGAGTCCAGTCCGTTAAATGGACTCTCAATACCCTTTTTGTATATGTGTATGTTTATGTGTACAGATGGACACACGCACACACACCTGCCCCGACAGATTGACACCTGTCAATCAGTATTTCACGATCTCAGGACTGTCATAATTTTAGTTCAGCTCCTTCCCTTCGCTTTCCCTTATGGTTTTGTCACTGGGGCCTCTGACTGTCCTGGAGCCCTGAACATCGTTTTTCCACCTTCATTGCCAAGTCTCACCCCTTCGGCTCATTCGGGATCTTGCATGTCTGGTACACGGCCTTTATTTCCTGCTAACTCCCACTCTGATTTGAAAGGTGGCTGCGGTGACTAGTCGTGGGATAGGAAACTGGAGCGACTCTAAATCCATCACCACCATGACTGGAAAGGGTAAGTGATGCCGGCGTTTGCCGGTGTAGAGACCATAGAAGCCTTCTGGAAGTAACTTCCAACGTAGCGGGCACTTGAAGTGCATTCTTCTAGGCAGGAACAGACATAGGAAGGGGGTCCCAAAGGCTGTGGTGCCCTCCCACCCTTCTGCGAGCACACAGTATCCAAAATTGAAGGGAGGGTTTCACCCTCGCTGAAGAGGAGCACGATTCTGAGCATGGTTATTTGTGGTGCTGTAAGGAGGGCACCAGGCTGGCGCTTGTCACTACCCAGTGGCACTGCCGAGCTCCGTGCAGGTGGTGGTTCTAGCACTAGAGCCCATTTAGTAGCAGCCAAGGGCTGCTGGGGACCTAGCGCTCTGGAGTGCTCGCTGGTTTGCACGGTTCAGCTCAGCTCATCGACCCCTGAGGACACTTACGGCAATAGTAAGGAAGAGGCTATGTCACTTAATCCAGGCCACACGATCAGGAAGTGACTGAGCTGGGACTAGAACCTGGCCTGCCTGACTCCAAAACTGGGGCTCTCACTCATCAACCTTCCCTCTGGGTAGAGGAGCATGTGGCAGCTGTACCACCTGCTCGTCGTGGGTGACTAGCTTGTCATCGTGCACGCGTACCCCTGCGGGTGGACATCTGATCTGTGTCCTCTGTCAAAACTGGTGTGTGCAGAGAGTAGACAGCTAATGAGTGAGAGAAGGGAGGCCGTGAAAAGCAGGGTCCTGCATACGTGGGGGGCGGACCACTGCTGCTCCTCCAAGATGGGGGGGCGTGGGTCACGATCTTAGCCTTGGCATGAGAGGCTTCCATTTCTGGACTTGCGAATATTAAACCCAATGAGCCCCGTGGCATGCGGTGTGACTGGGGCTTATTTATTTATTATTTTTTTGAGAGGTTTTTGCTATAGGGCGCGTGCACTCGCCAGACAGACAGAGACAGAGAGATAGAAAGCGAGAAATCACCCCCAGGGGGGGATGGCCACGCCACAATCCCTTCTCTTCCATTCTCCTCTCGGGATCTTGGGCACGCACGCACACACGCCTGGTGTGAGTTTAAGCCACGGGGTCCGGGACTCGAACCGCGGTCGACTACATGGTAGTCCAGCAACATAGCCATTACGCTAACTGCTGGTCCCCGGGACTTATATTTTAACATGGGCCTGTGAGAAATAGGCCTGGGTCATGGAGAGTCACTATCTGGAGTCGCTGAGATCATTGTAGGAGGCAGCTAAGCTTAGTGCCACCGGGCCGGATTTAGGGTAGAATGCCTCACAGGATGCGGAATGCAGAAAGATCTGCAATTCTGTTTATGTAAAGCTGACGACCAGCACAATCAGCCTATGGGAGTCGGGACAGTGGTTACCCCTGAGGGTTTTCATGGCCAGAGTGGGGATGGCAAAGGCGTCTAGGCTCCAACAATGTTTTTATTTTGTGACCCAGGTGCTAACAGATGCGATCAGTCTTTAAATTCTTCTCTGTACACTTAGACTTTTTGCACTCTTCCGTACTCAGGTTAAACTTGCAGAAAATGTCCGTAAAATAAACAGATGTGGTTTATTTAGGAAAAACAGAAAAAGAATGCTGAATGCACAGTCCCCACATGTTTTAGTTTTTTGTTTTGTTTTGTTTTGTTTTTAATGATTTCTTCCTGCAAAACCTGGCTGAAAGCATACTGATCGCACATAGCAAAGAGAAGGGACCCTGGACTAGGGACCGAGAGCACACACCCAGAATTGTGTAGGCACAGGTCACAGCCTGCACTGGAAAATCCAAGCGGGTGGTGACTGCCCTCAAACTTTTTTTCTAAGGTTTTGTTTGAAAAAAGCTTATTTATGGGCTGGCAGGTGGCGTAGTGGTTAAGGGCACTGGACTCCCACAGGGCCGATCATGGTTTGAGTCCCAGACCTGGTGGCTTGCTTTCTCACTTTTTTTCTTCTCTCTATCTCTCTGTCCCTCTCTGGTCAAATTTAAATATATGCATAAATAAACTAAAGTTCAATAAAGTAATTCTTTTTAAAAAATAAAATAACATAAAAAGCTTATTTATGGATTGGCAGGTGGGACGGTGGTTAAGGGCACTGGACTCCCATGTGGCTGACTGTGGTTTGAGTCCCGGAGTTGGTGGCTTGCCTTCTCAGTTTCCCTCTCTCTGTCTCTCTCTGGTCAAATTAAATAATAATAGTAATAATGAATAAAATTAAATAATTCTTTGGAAAATGTATTACATATAAAAGTTTTTAAAAGGTTGTTTCCATCTTTCTTCCATGAGAGAAAGCAACAGGCACCCCCTAGCGGAGCCTTCATGCTGTAATCCACCCCCAGCCTCAGCTGGCCTGGATCATGGCCCTTGGGAGGTCTCTAGACCGCCTCCTGTAACATTCCCTGTGTGTGTCTTGGCCCTCCTGCACCACCATCCAGTGCCTCCCTGACTCTTTAATCAACCGTAGTGAGGCTTAGTTGCAGAAGGAGAGGAGGGGGACATGCATGGAGTGACAGGCCTAGCACCTACATTATCTTAGCTAACTTCCCAGCTCTGCGACTTGGGTAATCATGTAGCTCTCAGCTCAGTGGAGGTAAGTAACCTGTCCGCTTATCTGTCACGTGTCAGAGAATAGGAGCTTGAGCTCAAGTTTGCAAGACACAAGAGGCCACGTTGCACACCCTTTGCCTCTCGCCACGCATGCACGTAGTTCCCAACTCACCCTGTCGTCAGCCTTTGGAAAGGGCTTGGGACCACTGGGACTTGTCAGCACCAGTGCAGATGGCACTCCCTGTGATCCTGACACCGCCAAGAACCACCCTGGGTCTGGTCTGTTTGGGGACGTGTACAAAATGGAACTTTGCTGCTCTCCCTGATTGCCAGGATAGCTACCTGAGCCGAGAGGGTCGTGTGCTCACCACGTACCTGTGGCCCCAACCCCAGATCAGGCAGACAGCGGTAACAGAGATAGGCAAGTAGACTAGCCACCGGCATGCCCATCCTTCCCCCGCTGAACGGTCCCTTGGTCTGTTGAGTTGAACCCTGTGAGGCCCTGCCTTCCTCGCTTTCCATCATGTAATTTCTCTTTCTGAATCCCTTTCTCGTTTTCAGTGATCCCGGCACCAGATATCCACATTGACAGCTACGGTGAAAACTCTCTGAGCTTCACCCTGACCATGGGTGGCGGTATCAAGGTAAGGTGCAAACTGCAGTTGGAGTGGGAGCCCATAGGTCAGGACAGGAAGACTAAGAAAAAGAATGGCTCGATCTTGCGAAGCTGAAATGCTAGAACTAGGTCGGTTCCTTCTCCCACGAAGAACCACTCGAGTCTTCCCATGTAATTATCCTGCCTCAGCCTGGTGTCTTTTTTTTTTTCTTTAACCATATAATTAAATGGTTCACAGCTACAGTGCAAATAAAGAGTTGGTGTTAACAGAATACGTATGCCCTGTAATTTTCAGCTTTATTGGATTTCCTAGTGCTAAGCGCTAATGCAGAGGTTCCCACAGTGGAAGAGCAACTTTCTTGTGAGAGAGTCCGATACCTTAGAAGCACGTCCACCCAATAGCCTCTTCCGTCACCATGGCACTGCCAGCCCCTCCTCTTGGCCCATCTGCATAGCTGACTTCACTGTAGTCATCGGAGTCCATGTGGTTCTTCATATGGAGATCCATGTTCCCGAATGTCCATTCTTATCCATTCATTCTTCCCACAACCCTCCCGTTCTAGAAGGTTGTGTTGGGATGGAAGCTCTCAGAGTCCGTGTGCCACTCACCGAACCACAATCTGGTATCACGTTCTTGGCTTCCAAGAAGGTGGATAGAAGAAGGGTCTCATGTGTCCTTGTCTATATAGTCCATGGTCTGGAAAACATTTATATCAGGGCTGCAAGGTGGCATGGTGATTAAGGCGCTGAACTCTCACATGGCCAACTGTGGTTTGACTCCCAGACCTTGTGGCTTGCTTTCTTACTTTCCCTCTCGCTCTCTCTTTCTCTCCCTGGCCAAATTAAAAGATAATAATAATAATTAGTTAATAAAATTAAATAAATAATTCTTTTTTACAAAAAGAAAATGTTTATATTTTGTTTGTTGTCCCATGTTTAAAACGTTTTAGATCGGGTCCTTCGATGAGCTCAGGGATTAGAAAAGGTGGTCCTTCCTGATGCGTGGGTGTGTTTACTCCTGTGGGATAATGGGCTTTACTCAGCCCACCTTGGCATTGACCTCTTGGCCTTGTCCAGAAAAGCAGCCTGAGCTCAGATTTATCTTTTTTTTTTTTTTGAGAGGTTTTTGCTATAGGGCATGTGCACTTGCCAGGAAGACAGAGAGAGACAGAGAGATAGAAAGCGAGAAATCACCCCCTAGGGGGATGGCCATGCCGCAATCCCTTCTCCATTCTCCTCTCAGGATCTTGGGCATGCATGCACATGTGCCTGGTGTGAGTTCAAGCTACTGGGTCCGGGTCTTGAACCGCGGCTGACTACATGGGAGTCCAGCGATATAGCCATTACGCTAACTGCTGGTCCCCAGACGTCTCTTTAATGCCCATAACCTATTGATCTTTCTAGCATTTCTTCTTTCTATCTTTATTTTCTGTTCTAAATGGTCTCAAGCTTGTTTTTAGAAGTAGGTAGAGTATAAGTAAAATTATTTAATGAAAATACAAGTAAAACGTTTAAAAATCAAAAGAAATAACCTTGTTCCTTCTAAGAAACGAGAAACCTACGGAGACTCCAGAAAAGAGGTGTAGCATCATCCTGTCTGTTGGATTTGGTGTGTCTTGTGACTAGAGCTGTTCACATGATGTGACTCTTCCCGGCAGGTGAATGGCTACGTGGTGAACCTTTTCTGGGCATTCGACACCCACAAACAAGAGAAGAGAACTCTGAACTTCCGTGGAGGTGTATCGTCACACAAAGGTAACTCCTCGGAGCCGGGTGGTGTGTGAGCAGGAGGGGATCAGCCTACACGAGGACTGACCTGGCAGTCGAGCCTGGTGGGGAGGTTCCTGGGAAAGGGGGGCTCTTCTCTGGAGGCCACTCTGCGTAAACAGGATGTTGTACATTATGGACATCATAATGGGGGGCCAGCAGGTATCGTGGTGGTTAAGGCACTGGACTCCCACATGGTTGACCATGGTTTGAGGTCCAGATCCGGTAGCTGAAAACTCATGCCAGGCCCATGTGCGTGCCCAAAATCCCAAGAGGAGAATGGAGAAGAAGGGATTGTGGTGTGGCCATCTCCCCGAGGGAGTGATTAATCACTTTCTCTCTGTCTCTTGGGCAAGTACACTTGCCCTATAACTGAAATCTCTCTTAAAGAAAAAAATAGGGACCAGAGGATGGTGTAATGGTTGCATTGCTAGACTCCCACATGTTTGACTGTGGTCTGAGTCCCAGACCTGGCGGCTTAAAACTCATACCGGTTGTGTGTGCATGTGTGCTCAAAATCTCAGGAGGAAAATGGAGCAGAAGGGATTGTGGCATGACCATCTCCCCTGGGGAGTGATTTTTCTGTCTCTCTCTGTCTCTCTAGTGAGTGCAGTTTCCCTGTAGCAAAAAATCTCTCTTACAAAGACATGCTGTAATGCGTCCCTGACTCTAGGTAGAGGGATTCCCTTGGCGCTTCTCAAGCCCCTTTCTAAAAACCTAATGGCTCTTAATGGATGTGGGAGGCTGTTATAAGGAGAGAGAACTGGAAAGAGGCCAGATCAGCCCCCTGCGGATGGGTTTGAGTTTCATGAGTTTCTATTATAGCCTGATTTGCTCCTTTGCTAATAAGAGGTAGCACCAGACCTGGTGTGTGAGTGGCATTCGGTGGGTGCTTGTTGACTGAATGAATGGACAAACCAAGGAAGATAGTAGTCTCGTCCCTCTCGTACCTGTGGCAAGAGCGAGCCTCAAGTAAAACTATTTTATTTTTAAGGTTTGAGCCATAGGTCAGGTATGCTTGCCAGAGAGACAGAGACAGAGAGAGGGGAAGTAAGAAATCATGCCCCACCAGGGATGTCCTTGCCATAGTCCCTTCTTCTTTTTTTTTTTTTTTTTAAGAATTATTTTTATTTAACTTTATTATTATTATCATTATTATTTTTCAGTTTGATCAGAGAGAGAGAGAGAGGAAGTGAGAAAGCAAGCCCCAAAGTTCGAGACTTGAACTGTGGCCGCCCATGTGGGAGTCCAGCGCCTTTAACCACCATGCCACTTGCCGGCCCCAACCGCAGTCCCTTCTTCTCCTTTCTTTTTTTGATATTTAGGGCACATACACAGATGCCCACCATGATCTTCAGGCTGCTGAGTCTGAGACGCTACCGCAGTCAGCCATGTGGGAGTCCAGTGCCTTAATCACCAGGCCACCTGCTGGCCCCTCAGCTAGAATTCTTCTATCTGAAAATGGGCTACAGGATGACAGAGCTTTTCCTTCTTTGAGAGGTTTTTGCTATAGGGCACGTGCACTCGCCAGAAAGAGAGACAGAGACAGAGAGCGAGAAATCACTCGGATGGCCACAACACAATCCCTTCTCCTCCATTCTCCTCTCGGGATCTTGGGCATGAGTTTAAGCCACCAGGTCCAGGACTCAAACTGCAGTCGACTAGATGGGAGTCCAGTGACATAGCCATTACACTAACTGCCGGTCCCAAGGATGACAAAGCTTTCAGCGGCAAAAGCCGCCTCTGAATGCTGACACAGGGCTTCTTTCCTTCCCTTTCTTCTAGCCTGTTTTCCAGGTACTTTCCACCATGTTTTTTGTTTTTTGTTTTTTTTCCTTTATTATGGCCTTATAAAATAGAATTTTTTTTTTTTTTATTACTTTTCTTTTTAAATTAAATTCTACTACTGGGTTAAGTAATTTGCCGCAGGGTTGTACAAGAGTAAAAATAACATTGACCCCCTCCTTGAGCAGATCGGCCTAGGTCTTCTGTGTGTGTTGTTTCCCATAACCCCGGTCGTCACTCTGCCAGGTACGCTTCTTTCTGAGGCCAACTAAGGCTCAGAGATGAAGTAATCCCCCCAGAAGGGGGCAGAGCCATGAGAGGGACCCACATCTTTCTAATGCCAAAGCCCATTATCTCATCGCCTCCGTGCCCACCAGTAGAACTGGGCAGAGTCAGGAACAGAAGTCTCATTATCTGTTGCTTGAAATCTGTTCTGGGCTAGCCCAAGGCCAGGCCTCCCGCCAAGCACTTTACAAGCAGTTTCTTTTTAAGTCCGGGCAACAGCCAGCTGCTGTAAGTGCTGTTATTTTGGTCTCCAGCTTACAAAGGAGGAAATAGAGCATTTAAATACTTTACCCAAGGATCTGTGCCCACCAAGCAGTCAGGCCCTAATCATCTTCCCAGTCCCTCAGTTATTCTCCTAACGTAATCCCCCCTGTGTTCACTTCCCTTTTATTTATTTATTTTTTGATTGTTTGTTGTTTTTGCTTTTAGTTTTTTGCCATAGGGAGCATGCACTCACCACCAGAGAGAGACAGTGAGAGGGAAAGTGAGAAATCACCCCAGGGAGGATGGTCATGCTGCAGTTCCTTCTCCTGGGATTTTGGGCACGCACATATTTATACCTGGAATGATTTTCAAGCCTCTGGGTCTGGAACTTGAACTGCAGTCAGTCAGATGGAAATCTAGCACTTTAACTACTATGCCAGCCACCTGTTGGCCCCTCCTTTTTAGTTGTTTTTGTTTTGTTTTGTTTTGTAGCCCCTCCTTTTTAGTTGTTTGTTTTGTTTTGTTTTAAGGTTTTTGTCAAAGGGCATGTGAGCTTGCTGGAGAGAGACAGAAAGAGGGAAAGTGAGAAATCACCCTCTAAGGTGGATAGCCACAGCTCAATTCCTTTTCCTCCATTCTCCTCTTGGGATTTTGGGCACACACACACGGTTTTCAAGCCATCTGGTCTGGGATTCAAATCACAATTGGCCACATGGAAGTCCAGTGCCTTAACCACCATGCCACCTCCTGGCTTCCCTTTTAGATTTCATAGTGTTTCCCCTAATAAGAAAGGGGGTACGTATTGATTTCAGAACATGAAAAAGTAAAAGGCAAATGAAAATTTTTTATTAAAAGTTTACTTTTACATTTCAGGTATCCCCTAATTTTTTTCCTATGGATTGATCACCTATCTTTTTTTTTATAAAATGAAAATAATGCTATCTGTAGTTTTGTGCCCTGTCCTCCTGATTTCACATAACCTTTGAAACTGCACAGTGCCATCCAATGGTTCTTGAAACAGTTCTTGGTGGCAGCATCTTGGTTCATGGCAGCAACTTGCTTTAGCTGCTGCCTATCCCCAGACATCAGATTAGGTCAGCTCTTCCCTACTTTAAGAAACACACAGGTGGATTTCTCCGTGACTTAGAATTTTGAGCCTTTCCCTCATTGTATGGGATCATGCGTGGAAGGGTGTGGTTCTCAAGGCCCTTGTTACACACGTTCCCCTTGGCTGCCCGGGCGAGTTGTATCCGTTTACCCCGGATGGTCAGCTTTAAGCACCGATCATAGACCTAAGGTCCGTGAGATGTGTGGCATGTGGTAGCTATAGTGAGTAAACACCGGACGGGTTTGTCAACGAATCTAAGTCCAACAGAACGTGAGATTCACTCAACAGAGATACCCCGTTTTTTTGAAATGGGGTGTGTATGTCAAGACAGATCCTCAACTAACACCCCAGCTTCCCGGTGTTCGCAGTTGGCAATCTGACAGCCCACACATCCTATGAGATTTCCGCCTGGGCCAAGACTGACTTGGGGGATAGTCCCCTGGCATTCGAGCATGTCCTGACCAGAGGGACTCGCCCACCTGCTCCTAGCCTCAAAGCCAAGGCCATCAATCAGACTGCAGTGGAGTGCACTTGGACGGGCCCCCGGAATGTGGTAAGTCGGGCAGAATGACCATCACAGAGCACGTGCAGACTCCCCTGCTGCCAGGCCCCGGGTGGCCCAGGGCGTTCCTCTCTGGTGCTCCTTCCTCCTTCCTCTCCCCACACACAAGCTGCCCTCTTGGCCAGTCCCGACCACCCCTGGAAGCCCCTGTGGTTGCATAGATGTGGTGTACGTAGGGGTAGTTTTCCCCATGCTCGGGGCTCACCTTGGTGGTGGCCTTGGTGAGAAGCCAGCAGCAGTGACCACGAGTGCTCCTCTGTGTGCGCGGCCTGGCTCCTGCAGCCCCTTCCCAGCTCTGCAGTCGCTCTGCACCTGCATCGCCTTCTTAGACCGGTCCTCCCAGGCGTGCCCTCTCGTCATCTGGGGTCCTGCTTCACTTGTATATGAGTCTTCCTTTTGCTTTTCCATATGCATTTGTTTCTTCACATGAGCATTTCGAGTTTATTAATCCCCTTATGAGAAATCCGCACAATCCCCGCAGACAGTCGCTGCAGAACGTCGCTCCTTCGGCTTTCCACCCCCACCAACACTGGCCTCTGCAGTCCCCAACTTCCTTCGTTCTGTTCTCGCGTTCCTCTCGCTGTTTTCTTGACGTCTGTTCTTCTTAGACGGACCACATCTTGCAAGTCTTCATTTGGGTTCGTGTTTTTTTGCATACTCCAAAGAATCGTAAATCATGCCAAAGCCAGTTGCCTCGCCACCACCAAAATGGGTTCTGAACCTAAACACAAAGATGACATCTGGTGTGGTCTTCACGTCTTCGCTAGTTCTTCCCGAATTTCTGTCTTAGGTGCTGTCGCCTTGCTGGGGTGGAGGCCATCCGCCACCCTTTGTTTCCTCTGAAGTCGCCGGTTGGTCATGGATTTCCTGGTTTGGATAGTTACTGTGTCATTCATGATGGCGTCTGTCCTAGGCAGGCAGGAAGGAAAAGAGAGGCACTGTGTTTGGTACGTGCAGGATGATTGCTCTCTGAGTCTGGGTCCGCAGTCCCCATCTCTCCGCAATGTGCACCTGTCTTTTTTTTTTTCCCTTTTTTTAATAGACAATTCTCTTTAAGATTATTTTATTTAACTTTATTTATTTTACTCATCTTAATTTGATCAGACAGGAACAGAGTCAGAGAGAGAGGGAAAGTGAGAAAGCAAGCCACCAGGCCTGGGACTCGAACTGTGGTCAGCCATGTGGGAGTCCAGCACCCTTAACCACCTGGCTCTTCTGCCTGGAGTCTGTCCTCCTTCCGCTGTGCAAGTGACTCCTCGTACTCCCTTCTGCGTGATCGCACGCCCTCATGGATTCCTGGGACAGTTATAGTGGTGCCGTGTAGCATGACGTTTCAGGAAACCCATCTTTATCTCACTGGATGTTTTCCGTCTGTTGCTCCTATCTCCTAACTAGTCTGTAAGTTCCCTGTGGGGGGGGGGGTTTGCTTTCTGAGTAGAAAAGCATTTAGAACTAAATCTACAGTCAGAACTTGGTGAATCCTTAGTGATCAGAGAGTGGAGGGGCTGGCCTAGGTCCTGTCCTCAGTGGGTATCTCCGTGGACATTTGGTCCATGACTGACCCATGAGGAAATAGGCAAGGTTTGCAGGTCATGGTCTGTGAGATCCGTGGTGAGGAAGGAAGAAGGAAGATCTACCATGCACCAGAACAAACTCACAAACTTGCTCACCGTGTTCGCTCACAGTATCCTTGTTTTTTTGTTTTGTTTTGTTTTGGTTTTTTTTTTTTTTAGAGGTTTTTGCTATAGGGTGTATGCGCTCACCAGAAAGAGAGAGACAGAGAGACAGAAAGCGAGAAATCATTCCCCAGGGGGGATGGCCATGCCGCAATCCCTTCTCCTCCATTCTCCTCTCGGGATCTTGGGCACACACGCACACACGCCCAACGTGAGTTTAAGCCACCAGGTCCGGGGCTCAAACCATGGTCGACTACATCGGAGTCCAGCAACATAGCCATTACGCTAACTGCTGGTCCCTCATGGCATCCTTTTATCATTCCTGGGGGGGTGGTGGTCAGCATTCCCATCTTATCACCCCCTGGGGCCTCCTCGTCTCCTCTGCCCTGAGCGCTCCCCTCTGCAGGCCTTGCTGTGAGTGGGAATCACACCGTGTCTGGGTGTCACGTGTCCCTCATCAGTTTCCTCTCCATTCCCATGCCTCCTCCTGGTTGTTCTCATCCAGCCTCGTCTTCACCTGTTCATGTACTCTCAGAGAAAATGCATTTCTTTCTTCGTAGAAACAGAGAGAGAGACAGAGACACCCCGACAGGGCAGTCTCTGTGGTGGACTCCCATTCTCAACCTGCCCGGGTCTCATACACACATGCGCAAGCAAACACCCCTCTTTGCTCAGTGAGGCCCTGGGAAGTGAACCCAGAACCTTTCCCATGCGAGTCTGGTTACATTACCACAGGGCTGCCACCTGACCCAAAAAATGCTCTTTGATGATCCCTTCCAAAAGGAAGCTTCCCCAGCTCTCACCCTCCCATCATAAGCTCCCTGGGCCTCCACCCCCTGCTGTAAGCATTAGTCAGATGCCCCACTGTCCTGCTTGCCATCCCCTCAGGTCCCCGCGTGTACCAGGCAGGATTTGGAAAGCCTTTAATGCCTTTCAGTAGCCGGCACCCAAAGGGACAGCGGTTTTAAACCGTTTGCCTCCCTCTCAATTCAAAGCCGTTTAGAGTTCACTGAAGTCCAGGCCTCTGCTGCAGCAGCAGCCTCTGATCTGGGGCCCGGGCCCCTATCTTCTAGGTCACCCTGTGGTCCGAGAAGCCTGGAGCCACGCCACTCTGTGCTCCAGGCAGCAGGAGGGCAGGAAGAGGGACTCGTCCTCTGGGATGATGGGCCTCCTGGGGCATCTCACGTGGTGCTGGCTGGAGGCCTGTCACCTGGCCTCTCCTAGCTCCAGGGAGGTAGGAAGTTCAGAATTCTGTTCTGGCCAGCAGTTCTCACAAAGAACCAGGGTTCTACTAAGGAGGAAAGGGAGAATGGGGGTCTGCTGGGCACCTGGCAGGGTCTGTCCTTCCCCTCCCTCCACACACCTCTTGAGATCTTCATGCTCACTCAACAAACTCCATGGCCGCACACCCGGCTCAGCACCCCCCGGGATCCCCGCATCCGTGCTCTGGTACCCTCTCCCAGTGACCCCCTCTTCTCTGGCTCATGTGCAGTCTTTCCCCTTCCCCTAGGGCAGGGAGCATCTAGCCCTCTCTTTCACAGCTCTTGGTGGAGACCTGCCTGTGTTTCCTCCCTTCTCAAGAACGAGCCTGTCAGAGACGGAGCCTCATCGTTTCTCTGTGGGCGTGTGTCCGTGCCCCGCTGGTGCCTTCTCTGTAAAGGCCGTGAAACTGGTGACTGGAGATTTCCCTCCGAGCTCTTGGGAAGCAGTTCCAGGGTCTTGAATTAGCGATTTCAAGAAATCGAGGTCACTGGCCCATTGCAGGTGTCCTTTCCATTCTCTGCTCTCACTAGGTTTACGGCATCTTCTATGCCACATCCTTCCTGGACCTCTATCGAAACCCGAAGAGCTGGACGACCCCGCTCCACAACGCCACGGTCATCGTCAGCAAAGACGAGCAGTACTTGTTTCTGGTAAGTTCCCCATACCAGAGTCAGGAGGGGTTTCTATACTTTAAGGGCTATCTTCCTTTTTGGGCACCTGAGTTCCACGCAGGACCTGGGAAGCTGGACTTCCAGGCTCCAGGATTGATGTGTGGAATGGAAGGAAAGTTCCTTTTCTTCATCCGCATCAGGTTCTTGCTTGAAACACAGAATGGACAAGCACTTAACCAGCTGCAGCCTTATCATGGAGGGCTGATAACTGGGCACATGGGTCACAGGCACAGAGCAAGCCGAAGCTTTTGTCGAATTACATTTTGGGGAATTTAGTCTACATGATCTTACACGCAAGCCAAGATGTGCGCATGCATGTACGCATGGTGCATTTCTACTGTGACAGCCGCAGGTTTGAGACAACGTAACTGTCTATGAGGAGAGGGCTGGTGAAAAATACTGTGGCAGGCTCACCCTGTGGCCTAGTGCTTAAGGGACCTGGATCCCATGGGGCTGACCACGGATCAAATCCCAGCCCTGATGGCCAAGACAGTGCTGCGTGAGTGTGTGTGCATGCCCCAGATCCTGACAGCGCCGGAAGATGGAGGGATTGTGCCATGACCATGCCCCATTAAGGGATGCTTTCTCCTTCTCCCTGTCTCTGTCTCTCCCTGACTGGTGCCCACCACACCCTCTGGCAAATTAAAAAATAAAATTAGGGACCAGCAGTTAGCGTAATGGCTATGTCGCTGGACTCCCACATAGTCGACCATGGTTCGAGTCCCGGACCTGGTAGCTTAAACTCACGCCAGGTGCGTGTGCGTGAGTGCCCAAGATCCTGAGAGGAGAATGGAGGAGAAGGGATTGCAGCATGGCTATCCCCCCGGGGGGTGATTTCTCACTTTCTGTCTCTGTCTTTCTGGCAAGCGTACACGCCCTATAGTGAAAACCTCTCCCCCCCCAAAAAAAAATTAAAATTAAATATTACATCAATAGCTTATCCATGCAGTGAATTATAGGACAACCTTGCAGAAGAAATCTACCAAGTCTTTGTGTGCTGCTGGGTGTGTCTTTACACACACACACACACACACACACACATCTACACCTCTGTGCCTGTGTACACATAGGGCATTTCTGGAAGGAAGCACAAAATACTGTCCACAGTAGTACCTCTTAGAAAATGATCTGGGGTAGGGGCCAGCAGGTGGCACGGTGGTTACAGGTGTTGGACTCCCACATGGCAGACTGCAGTTCGAGTTCAAGACCTGGAGGCTTTCTCTCTCCCTCTCTCTCTCTCTCTCTCTCTCTTTCACTCATCCTCTGTCCCTCTCTGGTCAAATTGGGATAAATAGACAAATAAAGTTACATAAAATAATTCTGAAAAAAAAAAAAAAAGAAAATGATGTGGGCTAGTCGAGGGATGACTTTATATCTTTTATACTAATCAAATTTTAATTGTGTCTGCGTGTGCCACTGTTCTCTTGAACATAGTAAAGATCGTGTGAGCTCACATGGTGTTTTCCCCACGTGTGCGGGGCTAGGTCCGGGTGGTGGTGCCCTACCAAGGGCCGTCCTCCGACTACGTGGTGGTGAAGATGATCCCGGACAGCAGGCTCCCACCCCGTCACCTGCACGCGGTTCGCACAGGGAAAACCTCAGTTGCCATCAAGTGGGAGTCGCCCTACGACTCTCCGGACCAGGATTTGGTGAGCAGCCTGGCAGCCTGGCTGCTTCTTGGCATGATTTGGATGGGGTGGAGTGGCATGGGAGGGGGTTCCTGTAATAGGCCGAGAAACTCAGGCCTGGTGGTTGGAGCTCAGCAGGAGGGTCCCCATTTCTTGCGAGTCCCTCTCCCAGACTGGTTCTTGTCCAGTATCTCAGCTACCTCATTGGTTTGTTCCATCCCTTCTCTGCTGCTCACATTCCCTTCCCTGAGCCTCTAAAACAAAGGTCAGCACCCAGACCCCCGTCTGTTCCTTTCAGTAAAGCTTTATTGGCACCAAGGCACTCTCGTGTGGTACACGTCATCTGTCTCCGATTTCATGCAGACTTGAGGAATTGTAGTGGAGACCATCTGGCCTTGAAAGCCCAAGATATTTGCAGGCTGGACGCTTACAATACCTTTGCTGACCTCTGCTCAAAAAGAAGGGGCGCTGCGGCCAGCAGATTGCATGATGGCTAAGGTGTTGGACTCCCATGTGACTGACTGAGGTTCAAGTCCTAGACCTGGTGGCTTGAAAAATAATACCGGGTGATGCATGCCCGAAATCTTGAGAGAATGGAGGAGAAGGGATGGCGGGGGGTGATTTCTTGCTTTCCCTCTCACTGTCGCTCTGTCTCTCTCGGGTGAGCTCACGTGCCCTATGGCAAAAACTGTGGGGAGCCCTATAACAAAGCTCTCTAAAAAAACAAAAGAGAGAGAGAGAGTGGAACAGGCTAGGTCCTGACGCCTGCTCAGGCGTGCTTATTTTCTTGTCCTAGTTATATGCGATCGCAGTTAAAGATCTGGTAAGAAAGACCGAGAGGAGCTACAAGGTGAGATCCCGCAACAGCACTGTGGAATACACCCTGAGCAAGTTGGAGCCCGGGGGGAAGTACCACATCGTCGTCCAGCTGGGCAACATGAGTAAGGACTCCAGCATCAAAGTCACCACAGGTAGGCGGTGGGGACGGCAGCCCTCCCACAGCTGGCACTGTGGTGCTCCCCGGACTCTCCACCTGGCCTTCCCATCAGGCACTGCTGGGGAGGTGCAAACGCTGGGCGTCCTGGGGCGGAGTGGTGCAGGGTTCCAGTGTCTGGGCTGCGGTATGCTGGTGGCCAGGGCACAGTAGGCAGGGTGGGGCTGTCGTTCTCCATATTCTCTCGCATCTTTTTGCCCTCCTCTTCCCTGTCTGGTTTCGAGATGACTAGCAGAGAAGAGGAAGAATGCCCAAGAGATAGGAAAGAAAACTGAGTGTTTACACAGAGGCCCAGCGAGTGTCCGAGGAGCTGGACTAAAGCCCAGTGGCTCTTCATGATCTGAAATGCGGAAGTAGCGGGAGATCCTAACTGGGCAGCTTAGAGGGCAGCCAGGCCCCGTCAGAATATGGTTAGCTCAGTTACTCAGACAGCGGCCAGCGATATCAGGGGGTTCGTAAAGGAGGCTCTGTACTGTTTGGGCTAGGACTGAAGGCTCTGGGCCCAGGCCCTGCTCCATTGTTTTTCCAAGCACCTGTCCTCAGGCAGATTTCTTTGTCCCGTCCCATCCCTTCCTGGCCACCTCACCCTACCCTGTTTGTTTTTGTCTATTCTTGAGGGACTATTAAGTTAGATACTGTCCAAATTACTTCGCTGAAGATAGAAGAACAACCAGAGGCCACTTAGAGCGCTGGGCTCTGTACTAGCCACGTGTGTGATTTATTGGGTCTTCAGAAAAGTCATGACACATTTTGCATAGAAAAACATAGAAAACTACGCATGACTTTTCCGATGACCCAGTCTTTCTTCCTGAACCCTCAGCCCTCTAAGGCTAGCGTTGTTTAATCTCTCTCTGACAGACGAGAAAAAACGCGTCTCTCATCTCGTCTTTCATTTTCAGTTTCCCTGTCAGCACCTGATGCCTTAAAAATCATCACAGAGAATGACCACGTCCTTCTGTTTTGGAAAAGTTTAGCTTTAAAGGAAAAGCAGTTTAACGAAAGCAGGGTAAGTTCCTCCCCTTGTTCTCGATGGCTTTAGAGATCTAATTGAAATGCCATTTTAGAGATGAGCTCGTTAACAGCATGCTGGCATGGATAGAGTGAAAAAAAGAGGAAGAGTAGGGCATGGAACTGAACTTGAGAATTGAAGGACCATTTTCTGTGGGATTGCTAATTAGCGGAATGCTTAGACTGCCCATATTTTGCATAGAAAAACATAGAAAACTACGCATGACTTTTCCGATGACCCAGTCTTTCTTCCTGAACCCTCAGCCCTCTAAGGCTAGCGTTGTTTAATCTCTCTCTGACAGACGAGAAAAAACGCGTCTCTCATCTCGTCTTTCATTTTCAGTTTCCCTGTCAGCACCTGATGCCTTAAAAATCATCACAGAGAATGACCACGTCCTTCTGTTTTGGAAAAGTTTAGCTTTAAAGGAAAAGCAGTTTAACGAAAGCAGGGTAAGTTCCTCCCCTTGTTCTCGATGGCTTTAGAGATCTAATTGAAATGCCATTTTAGAGATGAGCTCGTTAACAGCATGCTGGCATGGATAGAGTGAAAAAAAGAGGAAGAGTAGGGCATGGAACTGAACTTGAGAATTGAAGGACCATTTTCTGTGGGATTGCTAATTAGCGGAATGCTTAGACTGCCCATTAAAGATGAGAATCTCTGCACTAAGCACTTTTTGGTCCTGAACTTGTCTTCCCCCGAAGAAAGGGAAATGGGCTGGAGCCTCCCTGTGCTTCCTGGGGCTGGATCAGGCTCGGCACGGGAACCAGGAGCCTGCCTTTCCCAGGCCTTCTGCAGCTGGGCAGGGGATCAACTCCAGGGCACTGAGTGGGACCTTCACTGGGACGTCTCGCCACTTTCTTTCCAGAGAAATTAGAGGAACAGGAAGTACTTGAAGATGTCTGTTCCCTTGGGAGACCCAGCATCGTCTTTTGTTTTGCTGTTGAGAGTCCGAGTCTACGGAGGTGGGGAAGGGGAGCAAGACCGGGGGTGGACTTGGTATCTACAGTGCAGATTCCTGGGTGTCACTGACTGGCCCCCTTTACAGCACAGTGGTGACTAAATAGGAAGGTGTAGGCCACCAACCTTGACCACCTGCAGGGGTAGGAAAGTCAAAGTTTAACATTCTCACCATTCTGGGAATTCTCCCAGCTCTCTCCACCATGGTGTATAAATAGTGTCTTTCACTAGGAAGACAGCTTTTAGACCAATAGAAAACCGAAATATTCTAGTCTTGAGAAAAGTGTAGATAATAAAGTAGAAAATCCCAGCAACAGAAAGAAGAATGATCATCCTCACTAATCCAACCAAGACAACACTTCCACAGTGCTTCGGCCAAGGTGGGGACAGTGTCATGAGTGCACGGTATTGTTGCACGGTATTGTTGAGGAAAGGAGCACGCTAGGGCTATCTTTTTGGTTCAACCTCCATAGCCCCTTTGGTAACATGTAATATGTGCTGGAAAAGTACTGAAAGGAGGGTCAGCAGGTGGCATGGTAGTTAAGGCACTGGACTCTCACATGGTGGACCGTGGTTCAAATCTCGGGCCTGGCGACATGAAAACCACACCGAGCATGTAAGTGTGTGTGTCCAAGATCCCAGGAGGAAAGTGGAGGAGGGATTACAGTGTGGCCATACCCCTAGGGGGTGATTCCTCATTTTCCCTCTTATACTCTCTGTCTCTCTCCCACGAACACAGGTGCCTTATGGCAAAAGCCTAAAAAAAAAAAAAAAAAAATCACCAAAAGGGTTCACATCCTTTTTTGATCCAGTGATTCCTTTCAGATTTTACTGTTAAGGAAATGATGTGCACAAACGATTTTTGTTCACTATTTTAAGGAAATGATGTGTACAAACGATTTTTGTTCACTATTTACAATAACAAGAAAGAAGGAAGAGCCTACATGCCCATCAGAAGAGGATGGGTCAGATCAATTCCAGGTGGCCAGTGTTCATGTAATTTAAATGATTTTCTTTTTGACTTTATTCATTTTATAAATGTTTTATATTGAATATAGATTTGGTGGAAAGTAATTGCCATTGGGTTGTCTGAAAAGGCACGACACATTTTTGCATAGAAAAATATAGAAAACATATGTCATAATGTTTCCAGCAGCCCAGTCGTTTCTGAAAAGGGGTGCAGGGGTGGTATTCCAGGTAGGTATTAGAAAACCCAGTTTGGTAACCAGTCGCCATCAGGGGACCCTTGTGGGGTGACCGAGCTAGTTTTTAGGTCATTGTTCTGTCCCATGGTCAAAGGTCTGGCATGCCTTTCTCCTCCCCTGACTTGCATTCAGAGAACAGACAGGTCAGAGGAGCAGTGTTCAGGAGACCATGGTCAACAATGGGCCCACGTGTGGACAGGGATAAGGGAGGCAGTCTTTTGCAGGGAGCAATGGAGGTCTTAACAACCTCGACCCTGGAATACTTGGAGGCGAGCAGAGAAGCCGGGTAGTCAGCCCTAATCCTCGGGGACAGTTAGGGCTATCCCAGGAGTGGCTGTTTTCTGCACAGGAGTCCATGGCTCTTCCTGGAAGAGTCTAACTAGGAATTGCATTTCACCCTCTCCCCCAGAGAACAGGGCCCGAGCCTGCTGCCAGGCTTATTTCAAGACCAGGCTGGTTGGGGGCCACAATCAGCTTAGGAAGAACTAGGAAACGAGGAGACAGGGCATGAGGGGACAGTGGCACTTCTGCATAGCACTCCAGGGAGAGATGCCCTGTCATTTCTTCTGCTTTTTAATTGCCAGAGGGCACGTGCGCTAACCAGAGGGAGACTGAAAGGGAGAAGAATGCACCCCCCCTCTCCCAATGAGGCGTGGTTATGCTGCAGTCCCGTCTCCATTTCTGCATCCTATCAGGATTTGGGCCACACATGCACACGTGCCCAGTGTGTTTTTCAAACCAACCTGCATTCAAACAGTAGCCGGCTGTGTGGGATCCAGCCCCCTTAACCGCTAGCCTATAGGGCCAACCCTGACTCTCATTTCTAATTATAAATTTCCTGCTGTGACTCTGTCGCTGGAGTCCACAGAGGCCAGAATTTACGATCAGTCAAGTCCCATCACAGCGCACTCTGGTCGAATTATCCAGATTCGCTGTGGCATTTAACCTTGTTCGTGACCAGCAGCCTGCTGGCTGGAGCGTGGAGTATTTGTTAAAACGGTTTTCCTTAGGGCCACACTTTTTATTTCCACCCTGCAGCTCCTAAATGGGCATGGTAGTCATTCGAGACATTAGGGGTGTGAAAGGTCCCATTTTCTACACCTAGGACCTCAATGGTAATGTGAAAAGAAGTGGTGAGAAACCCGGAGTGCTCTAGCATCTGTGAAAGACTGCAGTAAGGAACATGCTGGACGCCGGGACAGTAATAGGAACTGTCAGGGTCCTGATCTGACGTGCTGAGCCGGCTCTCGTGTTTGTTCTCAGGGCTATGAGATTCACATGTTTGACAGTGCCATGAACATCACGGCTTACCTGGGGAATACGACCGACAACTTCTTCAAGATCTCCAACCTGAAGATGGGTCATAATTACACTTTTACTGTCCAGGCCAGATGCCTCTTGGGCAGCCAGCTCTGCGGGGAGCCTGCTGCCCTGCTGTATGATGAGCTGGGGTCTGGTAAGTGGCCGGTGCTGTTGGGGTCATCTTCAGTTCCAGGGAAGTAGCAAGAGCATTCACATTTCTGTCTTTCTAAAACACATTGAAAATTATTCTCAGTTCAGGGGAACATTGTTCGTGTCTCCATTGGAAAGGGTACTGATTTCCTTCACCAGGGCTTCCTGAACCAGTCATGGTTTGGTGAGCTGCAGTTAAAGGTGACCCTATTCTGGGACCAGCAGGTGGCATGGTGGCTAAGATGTTGCTCTCCCATGTAGTTGACCGTGGTTTGAGTCCAGGACTCAGCGACTTGAAACTCCTACCAGACACATGTGCATGCATGCCTAAAATCCCGAGAGGAGAATGGAGGAGAAGGGATTGCGGTGTGGCCATCCACATGTGATTTCTCACTTTCTCGCTCTCTGTCTCTTTCTGTGTGTGTCTCCAGTGAGCACATGCGCCCTATAGCAAAAATCTCTCTCTGAAAATTAAAACAAGAAAACAGGTGACCATATTCTGAATAGAAAGTTAAGAAAGGGAAGCTTTAGTTTAATGAGAGAGTTCTGCTTGGGAAACAAGAGGCCAGTCAGAGTTGTGTTGTTCGTCTTTGGTAGAACCACTTAGCATTCTCTAAGTCCGTAGAATGTCCCCTCATCACAGAATAACTGAGGTTGCATCCATCGCCCTTCATCTCAGCTGTCAGCCTCAGATCAGGACCTGAGCGTGGCCGGGGATCTCTGAGTTATGGACACTCAGACTGCATCAGTACCAGCCCGTACTGGGGATAGTGGAGAGGCCCATGCTGCTTACACAGAAAGTCTGTTACATGGTAGTAGCTTGGCTAGGATTTCAACAAAAGTTTTGCCACTGATCTTTTTCGTTTCATTTATTCCTAGCAAAAAACCAACCAAGCGTTCAAGACAGACTCTTCGGTAGGAGTTAAGTGTTCTGCTTCCCAGGGTGTGATCTGTGGAAGTTTGTCCCTGACAGCCTCTTAGAGAGAGGTTTTCGCTATAGGGTACATGCGCTCACCAGAAAGACAGAGAGAGAGAGACAGAAAGCGAGAAATCACACACATACACACACACACACAACAGGCATGGACACACCACAATCCCTTGTCGTCCATTCTCTTCTCAAGATCTTGGGCATGCATACACACACGTGTGAGTTTAAGTCACTGGGTCTGGGACTCAAACCATGGTCGACTACATGGGAGTCCAGCGACATAGCCATTACACTAACTGCTAGTCTCACAATGTAGTTTTCGATACCTTGATTACCACAATCAAATTCTCCACTACCTCCATGCTTACAGTTTGTGAGTGTATGGTTAGAACATTTAATATACACTACACTCCCTTAGCAAATTCCCATACACTCTTTTTTATTTTGGAGAGGTTTTTGCTACAGGGAGCGTGTGCTCGCCAGACAGACAGAGACAGACAGAGAGACAGAAAGCGAGAAATCACCCCCCAGGGGGGACTGTTGGGGTCATCTTCAGTTCCAGGGAAGTAGCAAGAGCATTCACATTTCTGTCTTTCTAAAACACATTGAAAATTATTCTCAGTTCAGGGGAACATTGTTCGTGTCTCCATTGGAAAGGGTACTGATTTCCTTCACCAGGGCTTCCTGAACCAGCCATGGTTTGGTGAGCTGCAGTTAAAGGTGACCCTATTCTGGGACCAGCAGGTGGCATGGTGGCTAAGATGTTGCTCTCCCATGTAGTTGACCGTGGTTTGAGTCCAGGACTCAGCGACTTGAAACTCCTACCAGACACATGTGCATGCATGCCTAAAATCCCGAGAGGAGAATGGAGGAGAAGGGATTGCGGTGTGGCCATCCACATGTGATTTCTCACTTTCTCGCTCTCTGTCTCTTTCTGTGTGTGTCTCCAGTGAGCACATGCGCCCTATAGCAAAAATCTCTCTCTGAAAATTAAAACAAGAAAACAGGTGACCATATTCTGAATAGAAAGTTAAGAAAGGGAAGCTTTAGTTTAATGAGAGAGTTCTGCTTGGGAAACAAGAGGCCAGTCAGAGTTGTGTTGTTCGTCTTTGGTAGAACCACTTAGCATTCTCTAAGTCCGTAGAATGTCCCCTCATCACAGAATAACTGAGGTTGCATCCATCGCCCTTCATCTCAGCTGTCAGCCTCAGATCAGGACCTGAGCGTGGCCGGGGATCTCTGAGTTATGGACACTCAGACTGCATCAGTACCAGCCCGTACTGGGGATAGTGGAGAGGCCCATGCTGCTTACACAGAAAGTCTGTTACATGGTAGTAGCTTGGCTAGGATTTCAACAAAAGTTTTGCCACTGATCTTTTTCGTTTCATTTATTCCTAGCAAAAAACCAACCAAGCGTTCAAGACAGACTCTTCGGTAGGAGTTAAGTGTTCTGCTTCCCAGGGTGTGATCTGTGGAAGTTTGTCCCTGACAGCCTCTTAGAGAGAGGTTTTCGCTATAGGGTACATGCGCTCACCAGAAAGACAGAGAGAGAGAGACAGAAAGCGAGAAATCACCCCCCGGGGGGATGGCCATGCCGCAGTCACTTCTCCTCCATTCTCCTCTTGGGATCTTGGACACGCACACACATGCGCCCAGTGTGAGTTTAAGCCACCGGGTCCGGGACTCAAACCGCGGTCGACTATGGGAGTTCAGCAACATGGTCATTACGCCAACTGCTGGTCCCACGGCCTCTTAGAAACATTGCTTACCGCTTCCCTCTGGGGCAGGTTCCGAGAGGGTCCTATAAACAGCAATCAACAGAACTCCTGTTAACCTGATGTTTCCTGCATAGACCCATATTTTTAAGCAAAAACATCCTGTAACCTGTGAAGTGTACCTTGGGTAAACTGTGTGAGATCTCTGTCAGCTCCCACTGGGGTTGTCAGGGAGGAGACTCTCAGTGAGACCTGTCGGCCTGCACCTTGCCCGTCAGTGTGTGGTCACCCTTGGACGCGGGACGGGGACATTTCTCACTGACTGCTGTCGCCTTCACATACTGGCTTCGTAACTGCTCCAGCCTGGAACATTCCCCTAACTCACTACTGCACAGTTGGATAGGTTGGGATGCATTAAGTTGCTTAAGTTTTTTTTTTTTTTTTTTTTTTCTGGCCAAGAAATAATGACAGAAATTTAAATGCAGACGTGGATATTGAGTTATTGGATGAGACTTGCAGGAAATGACTGCTCTCTGGCCCGTCTTTCCAAGTACCCTATCAGGGTGAATCCCTGGGTAGTCCGGAGCTTTCTGCATAAGGTGGCAGCCTTGCCCACCCCACCTCTCCCCAGAGCAGGGAGCAAGCCCAAGAAACTGAGGCTCCTCCTTGAGACCCAGGTCTAGGAAGACCCACTTGCTTCCTTTGCTGAAAATAGGCTCCCAGGTTCCATTTCTCTGCCTCAAACTCAGACTTTTCCCAAGATTTTTTTTTTTTTTCTAAGAGATATTTTTTTGCTGTAGGGTGAGTGTGCTTGCTAGAGACACAGAGAGGAAGAGGAAATGAGAAATAGCCCCCAAAGGGGAATGGCCATGCCACAGTACCTTCTCCTCCATTCTCTTCTCAGGATTTTGGGCACACATGCACACACTCTCAGCGTGAGTTTCAAACTGCTGGGTCCAGGATTCAAACACCAGTTGGCCATGATGTGGGAGTCTAGCACCTAGATTACTAGGCCACCTGCTGGCCCCTTACCAGGGTTTTTTTTTTCAAAAGAGGTTTTTGTTTTAGGGTGTGAGTGTTTTTCAAAAGAGGTTTTTGTTTTAGGGTGTGTGTACTTGGTGGAGAGACAGAGACAATGAGAGGGAAAGTGAGAAATCACCCCCCAGCCCCAGAGGGATGACCACACTGCAATTTCTTCTCCTTTGTTCTCCTTCCAGGATCTTGGGCACACATGCATGCATGCCTGGTGTGATTTTCAAGTCACCGGGTCTGGGACTTGAACTGCTGTCGGCCATGTGGGAGTCCAGCAACATAATCACTACGCCTTTTACAGGCCCAACGGGTTTTAACCAGAAAAGTCTACCCCTTTGGAGGAGACTGGCCGTATCCCAGCAGAGTGGGAGGTGGGAGGCGGCTTTGCCCTGGAGCCAGAGTGGTACAAACCTGTCGCACATCATCATGAAGCCAGCGTTCCTTTTAGATGGGAAAAGGGCATTGCTATCGAAGCGGCATCGCAAAGAGCTTTAATAAGTGTTAAATGTATATGGAAACGTTGTTTTTCTTGCTCTCTTTTTTACTTGAGTAAAAAAAACCTCGTAAAACTTCATGAGCTGTTAAGTCAGTACTGCAGCAAAGGAATCTCGTTTGTATCACTTAATGGAGCTTCAGGTAATTGCAGTTCAGAGTGACTTTGGTGCCAAGTAGGGGGAATAATTGCACTCTCGTTAATTAGTGGTCTGATTTCACATCCTCTTATGTGAGGCAAGCAAGTGGTCTTAAGTAATAATGCTAATGAAATCAATGTTGATACCCCAACAAAGGTCTCCCTTCCAAGAGATTATCTAAATAACCAACAAGGCAGTGATTAGGAGTCTAATGTAATTACCGTGTTTGCATGCGCCGGGCCCGTGGTCTATCGGCTCATGGCAAGCAGCGGGGAAACACTCAGGCGTTGTGCACGTGCAGGAGCGTGTCACCCCAGGCGGGCGGTGTGGCGAGCTGCTGCGAGCCCCTCGTGGTTTCGGTAGGTGGGGCTTCCGGGACCTGTCCGGCACCTCCTGCAGAGGGCCCTGCCCGCTCCCCCCTGCCGTCAGGGCAGAGGCTCACTCATGGGGGTCTTGCCTTGGCAGGTGGAGACGCATCCGCAGTGCAGGCCGCCAGGTCCACCGACGTCGCTGCCGTGGTGGTGCCCATCCTGTTCCTGATCCTGCTGAGCCTGGGGGTCGGCTTTGCCATCCTGTACACGAAGCACCGGAGGCTGCAGAGCAGCTTCACGGCATTCGCTAACAGCCACTACAGCTCCAGGCTGGGCTCGGCCATCTTTTCCTCAGGGGATGACCTGGGTGAGTGGGCAGCGGATGGTGGTCCCCGTCCTGGCACAGGCTCCCCCCAAACCAGCCACAGACTGGGAACTGCCTCTCACGCTCTCCTTCCAACGCAAGAGGAGGGAGTCATGAAAAAGTGATTCCATCACTTTAACTTACTCCTAAATTAAAATACTAGAACCTTTTCGTCCTGGCCTGAAACAGGGAGCAGTTTTGTGAAAGGTCTGATAGGAGGTCTGATAGCTTGTCTCGTACAGGAAGATGGGCCCTGGGCTTTGGAAACTCCCAAAGTATTGGAGAGTTCTCTAGAATGGCCAGCCTCTCTCGCATTCTCCACACACCTGCAAGTCTGACGTCAGATCCTAGTCAAGAGGAGGAGTATTACTTCTCCACTCTATCTCTATCGAAAGAAGCCCTTTCCATCTTGCCCTTTTCTCTGTAAGAACCAGTGCGACCTCACCAGCCATCCTTCTGCTCCATAGGGACAACATACAGGTGGGAAGAGCAGGAAATTGTCCAAAGCTCCCCCACACCGAAACTGCTGAACATGAGTTTACTTTTCTTTCTTTTTTTTTTTTGTAAACGAGTATAATCCTTTTTGTTTGGAAAGACATTTATGTATCCCCACTCACAGATCGCATGGTATCAGCTGTGCTCTCTTTCCTGCTCTGTTTTTTTGTTTGTTTGTTTTTGTTTTTTGTTTGTTTGTTTGTTTTCCTTGCTTGACCAGCAAGTACCTGAGTGCCTTGCAGGAATAGGGTGGCTTTTTTTGTTCCTGCTCTCGTGGGCAGGGTGTCACGTGAGGGTGCCTGAGTGCAGATTCTCAGTGAGTTGCACTGGATTATCCCCGGCCCTCGGAGGAACAGCCACGGGGCCCGGGAAGCCATCCTCAGGTGCTTACACCACTCATGACCTTTTTCTTCAGAGCAGTCTGGGTTCAAAAGAGAAAGTAGACAGTGAAGTTCCCTGTGCTAAGATAGGGTGTGCAAGACTTAAATTAGGGAACCCACACCACCCACTTACCTTCTGGCTAGGTAATGAGATTCTTCTTCCTAAGAGCTTCATTTTCCTTGTTTAGCCAAGTTCATGCTTGGTCATCCCTTGAAGGGGAGATGTGTGACCCAGGCGTGCAGAGGGAAGCTGGGCTGGGGTTTAGCACTGGCTCCTTGGCCTGGTAGTGACTCCTGCTGGGGCTGGGATAGGGAAAGGGGGCAGTGGGCAGAGCAGCGGGATGTGTGGTCTGCTAAAGTACCCTGGAACTTACCAAGGCTTACTTTGTCTTTAGGGGAGGACGATGAAGATGCTCCTATGATAACTGGATTTTCAGACGACGTTCCCATGGTGATAGCCTGAAAGCTTTCCTCTCTAGAAACCAAATGGTGTAAATATTTTATTTGATAAAGATAGTTGATGGTTTATTTTAAAAGATGCACTTTGAGTTGCAATATGTTATTTTTATATGGGCCAAAAATGAAAACAAAAACAAAAACAAACAAAAAAAAAAAAAAGGAAAGAAAGGAATGAATCAACTTTGTAGTAATCAATTGTGAAACTTCAAACCAGGTTGATTTTAGTAACCAAATTGCTTTGATTTGACATTAATGTAGTCTTACAGGGCTGTGCTTGCTGGGCATGCTTTTAAGTCTGTGAGATAATTTTGGTTCAACAAGTTGGCCATTCTTTTTATTTTTTTTAAGACACAGAAATGTATTTAATAAAAACTTCAAGAGAGAGTGACGGGCGGAATCCCTTCTCCTTGAAAGTATGCTCCAATGGAAAACTTTGTTTGGATTTAGGTTATATGAAAGTGTTTGGGTGTGCTATGGGGGAAGGATCTTTTGTATTATTTTGTTAATTTATTGGGACTCTGTGTAAGGCCAGGCTTTGGTGGCTATCTGACACCGCATGTGTTACGAGCCCCTCACCCGTAGTGTTTGGGATGGGGAACAGAAGAATTTTTGTTGCCATTCCTGAAGCAGTCCATTTTTATTCACTTGTGTGTCACATGGCGGTCTCTGGCAGGGGAGAGCACTGAGTCGTTGCTGGGTTTCAGCTAAACAGAGCAGCTCGGAGGCCCTGCAAGCCCACAGCTCCCCCCTTGTGTGAACCCACGGAATGTTGCTGTCGATGCCTGACCGCACTGCTTAATCATACGCTCGTATCCTTGTCAATGTGGGAGAGGGTTCTCTCTGCAGTAGATACACTGGCAGATGTAGTCCATAATTATTTTCATTTTCCACTTTTTTGTTTTTGCTAACCACTGAAGAATCTCGAATGTAAAATTTCGTTTTGGGGCTGAGGCGGCCGCTTCTTGTGCTTCCAAATCTGTACCGCTTCGTGCAGTCCTTTGAATGGGGTCAGTGCCTTCTCTCTCACCGTCTCTTTGTTTTCCTACCTCCCTCACTTGTGCCCTCAGCCCATCTGATGCCATTGTGTGGTTCACTCTCACCGAGATTGAGGACATCTAAATGTCAAGACCACTCGATCCAATTAACAATAGCAGCGACATTAGAATTTATTCATTCATTCTTTCTGCAAAGTGAGCTGTGCTTTTTGTTTGTTTGTTTTCTTCTGTTTAAGATACCATTCCCGTATTCAACTGGTGGCCATGTGTCAGCTTTGTAGACCCCACTGTGGACTGATACCTTTAGATTTCGTGTTGCAGGCACCAGTGTCTCGCATCGCTGTGACGTGTACTGTACGAACCTCACTGTGGACTGGCCTCCCGGCTGGGAAGCAGTGCGCTCTGGGAATATTCCAAAGTTGGGCCTCTGATGTGAGCCCTGGATATGCAAGCTTTGTAAAGCCCCACCTCTCTTTAGATGCAAGTATCACCTTCTCACCAGTGTTTGGTTTCCTTTAACCAAAAGTATCATTCTTGGGTGATAATGTAGTTTCGTTCTACTTAGGGATTGTTTGGAAAACAAAGAGCCAATTGTTTCATTTTTTTTTTAACTATTTATAGCTATATTTTTTAGAGGAGGAGTGTTTTAAACTATAGACTCTTAGTAATGCCATGTAGGTAGAACGCTGTTTTCTTTCAACAACTGGTGGTAACGTGGAGCCTTTACCCAGCGTATTCTGTCTTCTTGCTTATCACTGTCCTTTTTTTTATTTTCTCAAAGACTGAAATTTCTTCGGTTTGATCTTGTCTGGGGTTTTGTCAAAACCTCCCAGCCCTGCCACTTCTCCCTTATTAAGCTCTTTAAAGTAGCCAAAAGATTAATAATCTAGTGAGAGGCAAGTCATTCGATTGAACCACTGGGAAACTTTTATTTTTTTAAGATTTTTGCCCTAGGGCGTGTGTGCTCACTGGAGAGAGAGACAGAGAAAGGGAAAGTGAGAAATCACCCATCAGAGGGGATGATCATGCCACAATCCCTTCTCCATTCCCTCTTGGGAATTTGGACATGTACGCACATGTACCCAGTGTGATTTTTCAAGCCGCAGGGTCTGGGACTCAAACCGCAGTTGGCCATGTGGGAATCCCAACGCCTTAACCACTACTCCACTTGCTGGTCCTTAAAGCATTTTTTAAAAAATATAATAATTACTATTTTATTTTTCTGCCACCTATTTGGTGGCATTTGTAAAAGCTGGTAGACAAAGCGTTGAGACATTAGTCCAGTTTTTCCGTAGGCAAGCCTGTACAGCACATGTGTCTCCAGTGGGCACCTTGAGATACCCGCAAGCACCCGGTTCTGGTTCCGGTGCCCCCTAGTGTGTAGCGCACAGTACTGCATAGACTGGCCACACCCCTCTCCTCGGAAAACGCCACTGTGCTGTTTGGACAAAAAAGAGTATTTTCTATAAACAGAAGAGCTGAGTTCCTGAAAACTAAGTTAGCTAGATGCAGCTCTGTGTGAATTCTATATTTTTATGGGCTCGTGAAGCACACACTCCTAGTTCTCTGTGCATAGCCTTGTGGGGTTTGATGTCTGTGTGCCATCTGCAAGAGTCCCGAGGTTGGAGTGACAGTAGAAGTGACAACGCGTACGACATGCAGCCTTTGAAGGGGACCGGACAGCTCTCTTCACCGTGTCCAGTTGGAGCTCCTGGTTGCTTGTGAAGAAGGGGCTTTTGTACGTTGTTGGAGACACCGCCTCGAAAGGCCACACCGTGCAGGGCAACGTCTTATTCTCTCCCAGAGCACCTTTGAACATCACATGCAGGCATCGTGTGGACTGTCGTGGGCGGCTGAGACTAGGTGGGCGAGGGTTGTGTGACTTTTCTCTGGAAGCTGGTTTTGCTCCTGTGCATATTAGATGCCCCTGGAGGTTTGTAAGATACAGGTTCACGTGGATAAAATGACAGAGAGCAGGCGTTCCTCACAATACAGTGGAATCTGGGAGAGGCCACGTCTATGCAGATTCGTGTCCAATCAGGTGAGACGCTCCTGTAACTGGCCGCCCTGGCAAGCTGGCTAAAATAGTCATGACACCGGGTAGCCGGTGACACGTCTGACTTCTGGGAAAGTGGTTCTTGGGCTCCATCTCTGGTCATGCACTAGGGACATTGGGGGAACAGGTGGTGGCCACACAGCTGCCTGTTCTCTCCTGCTCACCACGTGTGTGGCCCACTCAAGTCGGCCACCTCCACAGTTTAGGGAAGGTAGCCTTCTGAGACAGGGCCATGGGCAGACTGGGAAGAGCAGTGGGACAGTGAGCCCCTTACAAATACACATCCACTTCTCCTTGGGGAGTCCTTCCTTCCGATACCTGCCCAAGGATCGCTCCATCCAGTCAGAATGTAGTGCTAGTATGTCTTCAGGAGCAGAAACTCTATCCTCTCAGGTTTGGTTCATTCCTTCCCAGGAAGAGGAGTCCCGGTGAATGCCTGAGAATCCTCTTTCTGCAGCAGAGACTTGGAAGGCCCTCCAGAGGGATCCAGAGGTACAAACAGACTGAGACCACACACCCCCATCCTGATTTTTAGAAACTGGCTCAAGCTCTGTTCAGAATCTAGACTCGGGTTAGGATTGTGTCTTGACATGCTACTTATGTTATTTTTTTTTTCTTCACTGGAGTGTGTGCTGCCTTTCAGGTACAACTTTTGTGTAATAAAAGCCAGTGCATTACGTGTCTATGGACTACTTTCTATGCAAGACTGAGATATGGAATAGATAGCTAGAGAGATGTACCGGTGGGCCCCCAGAGAGGAAGTATGTTTTCAGAAGGAGCAGCAGCTCCGATCACTGGTCAAGGGAACGTAGGTTGCACATACGTTTCTGCCCGCTAAGTTGGAGCAGCCATAGTTTGCATTGAACCATCAGAGCCAAGTCATAACCCAAGAATGGTCTTCGTCTCGTGTGTAACGGCTGGAATCAGGATGAATGCTGAAGTGGAACATTATCCTCAGATATTCCATGTCGCTTCTCATTTAAAAGACTCTTGTTATAAATTATTAGAAACTTTAGGCAAAATCAGAAGTATCTGCAGCAAAACAAAGGCCTCTTCCGCTCTTATTTCAAGTGAAACACTGTACACACCTGTGTCTCCAAAGCGAAGTTGGATATCTGTCATTCCAACTGCCTTGATAAGTTTCCAAGTCCCTGATCCCTGCTGAAGATTTTACTCTATTGTCGCACAACGTTAAGATGATTTTTGTCTCAGCGTCAACTTTTTTCACTGAATAAAAATTTAACTGGGTCAAGAAAACACGTCTCGAGTTGTTCTTTTGAGTGCAATAAAGACAGCGCGTGTAGTCTCTGAACATCATTTGATTTATCTGTTTTCAAAGGATGTTTATTTCATCGATGAGAGAACATCGAGACCCTGGAATAATTTTGTTATTAACAGGCTGGTCTCCGATGGTGGATCCTTGAGGAACACGATGTCTTTGTGTTGGCTGAGGAGTGGGGAGTTGCCTTGGCGGCTGTTTTGAAGTAAATAGAATTATTCCATGAGGGCGATGATTGAAGTGGCCCCCTCAAAGCTGTAACTACAAATTGCTAAGAGACGATTTGCTAAGAAGGCAATTTTGCAAATCTAAGAAAGAAATGTGCAGCAGTGCAGGGGAGCCGTGTAAGAGGAGGTTTCCGTAGACAGTGAAGCCTCGTGGCCTGTGCTCTTTTGGAAGGGCAGGGGGATCTCTGTGACGGGTTACAGGGTGTGCAGCTGGGTAGAGGGGGCAGTGTGGTGTTCTTGTTTTCACTGTTGCCTTTTGAATTGATCAGGTCTTGTGGCGTGCTGCTTAGGTTTAGGTATTGGGCTAAAAAAAATAATAATCATCTAGGAGTATTATCTAATTTTGTGAAGGAGTTACAGAGAGACCCAGAGAAGTGAAGTCATTTGCTTAGGGAAAACCAGAGAATGAATGGCAAAACCAGATGTCAGGCCCAGGTGTTTCTGACCCCATGCTGTTTGGTATCACAGTGCCATACTGCCCCACGTCACTATTCAGTGTCATAACACTCAGGACAACACGTTGC